TTCTCCAAAGAATGTCCTTTTTCAGTATTAGGAAGGTAACCAGCACTGTGTAAGCAGAGTTTGGGTGTCCATGTTATTGGACTCTTTTTGTCTTAGCGCTGTGATTTTATCCATTAACTTGATATATTAAATCTTGCACAACCAAGCTTCCATACAGGGCTGGTGCTCCCATAAGGCGGGGTTAGGCATCTGCCTAAGGACGCCACCTACCACCCCTGCTCTGGTGCCCCGCGGGTGAGCATAAATCCACTCACTGCCTAAATAGGCAGCGTTAGGGGTGTTTAACCGGGTCTTCAGAGCAAGGTGATCCGCCCATGGAACTGCATCAGCAGTTATCCAATCCACCATAATCCTTGTGGTAAAGATAAGATCCAGCATGTGGCCTGCTTGGTGTGTAGGAGCCAAAACTGGGTGAGTCCCAGTGCTGCCATAGACAACACGAAGTCTGTGGCCTGTGAAGAGGTCACATCATTGGCATGGACGTTGAAATCACCCAGAACTAAAAGCCTGGGATACTCCAACGCTGAGCCCAATACAGCTTCCAACAGACCTGGCAGGGTGTTTGCTGGTGTGTTGGGCAGACCAGCCAAATGGCCAAACTCTCCTTGGCATCCCACACCAGACCAATGCAAGCAATCTTTGGCCCAGGGAGCTCTCTGAAGGAGAAATACTCCCAAATTAGCAATGCCACTCTCCCCTGCCCAATTGTGCAGGACTGGTGAAGGACCGAGAAGCCTGAGGGGGCCAATTGATTCAGAGCAACTGTTTCACCCTCTCTTACCCAGGTCTCAGTCACACACGCAAGCTCTACTGCCTGCTCCGCCAGATACTTCTAGAGGATGGTGGTCTTATTGTTAATAGCCCTGGCATTAAACAACACCAGTGTTGGAGGCGGGTAAGATTTCCTATCCCCACAGCCGGCATCTTTCGAGATGGGATGAAGACAGGAAGGAGACCAAGCATTTCTACATCTCAGACTCCTTCCTCTAAGTTGCCTTCTCCCACCACCATATTCCCCCTGCCCCATTCTTACCGGGATCCCTGACCCTCCCATGGCCACCCCCTCCAGATCTTATTAAGCCAGAAGTAGTCCCACTCAGTATCCGGAGATAACAATGAAGGAGGAGGAGGAGATTGGATTTATACCCCGCCCTTCACTACCCAAGGGAGTCTCAGAGCGGCTTACAAACTCCTTTCCCTTCCCCTCCCCACAACAGACACACTGTGAGCAATGCTCCCTCTAAGTTGTGGAGTCTCGTGAGCAAAAATTCAACTTTGTGAGCGACTGGCATTAAAGTTGTGAGCGAGTGATTTGGCTGCTGCATAAATTAGTTTGCTCTGGAGACATCCTTCCTGCGCCAAAACAAAAATGTGTGCGCCGGAGGCCAAAAAACTATGAGCTAGCTCACACTAACTCAGCTTAGAGGGAACACTGAGTCTGTGAGGTAGGTGGGGCCGAGAAAGCTCTGAGAGAAGTGCCCTTTCAAGGACAGCTCTGACAGAACTATGGCTTGCCCAAGGTCATCCAGCAGCTGCAAGTGGAGGAGTGGGGAATCAAACCCGGTTCTCCCAGATTAGAGTCTGCACACGTAACCACTACACCAAACTGGCAATAGAGTAACCCAATCAGAATCTCTATCAGCTATACATCCAAACCCAGATGGCATCTATAATACAAAACCTTCAACCTGATTTAAATCCAGTAATTAGTTAAATATAGTCAGCAGAAATCCTAACTACAAACCCATCAACCTCCCTCCCAAACCTCCCCTCCTACTTCCCTCTCTCTACCAGAAGTACGAAGGATACATTAACCTAGCTACCAGAATTAGCTAACTAATTAATTATAATGGGTGAGAATTAAAACCTAAAATCCACCTAACCAAACCTAACACTAAAACGCAATAATTCATTGAAAACTAGAGCAGCTAACACAATTAACATCTCAGCTCCAAATGATGACATTGAAGAATCCCCACTAGGGTGAAAGCAAAAGCTGCAGTCAGTAAAGGAGTCCCCTCTGAGGATGAGCCATATGCTGTAGTTCCAAGAACCATCAGCAGATGGCGGTGTCACAGCATGCTGAGAACAATTTGAAGCGCTATACTGCAGTAAAGGCGACCAGAGACGGAATTGCGGTCTTAAAGGAGAACTATAGTTCAGGCCGGAGGGATTTCTTGATAGCCTCTCTGCCTCTGGAGTCATCTCTTGATGGGTAGAGTCTGTGGGGAAAGCCTTTCCCCCCCAGCACAGCCTGATTGACAAGGCTCTCCCTCTGCTTTTCCAAACAACAGCTAAAGATACCAGAAGTCACTGGCTCAGCAGATGAGGACAGCAGCTGAGAATGTTTTGCAGTCCATGCTCGAGGCTATTCACTGTGGTATTTGTTATGTCTGGACTTGAGCAGTCTTCAACTCCAGCTTAACTGCTGCCGGAGGCATCTCTGGGCTTCTACGGGCAGGCCACCTAGCTGGAGCTTGAAGCCCCAGAACAAAGGCAGGCAGGATCCTGGAACCTGCCTGTGGATTGGCTCCTGAGGACAGCCAGCCAATCTGGAGCCTGGAGGCCATTTGAATTCACCAATCACATGGGGGCTGGAAGTGGCTTAGGTGTATATAGTTAGGGCAGTTGCCCCGTGTAAGGCATTTCCTGTTGAGATGCAATAAACTGCTGCTTGCTGAAATCATTATGCCTTCTCCTCTGCCATGTTAAACCTACTATTTAACAGTACTCCTTAACAATTCACCCAGAACTGGTTAAAATGGATGGTAAGGAGTCTCAGAGTACCCGGCTAGGGCTCCATTCGTGTTGAAGTCAAATTCACCCGGGAATTGCTCCAGAGCTTCTGGGTTGGACTTACAGCGCCCAAGTTGGACTTACAGCTGCCCGAGTTTATCTGGAGTAGTTTGCTGGTGTACCCCGCCAAAATGGTCCTCATTGAGGCTCCAACGTCTGCAATTCCGCTGCAAGAACAGGGGACACCGCAGCAATAAGGCCAATAGCCGGGCTGCTCCGAGGAGAGTTCTCGGCATCCCTGGTGCCTTGCTGTAAGTTAGTAGAGAGTCCACTGATACAATATAGCCACATTGAATCTTAGTGGGCTAAGTTAGTAAGTTAGTGGGCTAAGTGTAAGTTAGTAGAGAGTCCACTGATACAATGTAGCCACATTGAATCTTAGTGGGCTAAGTTAGTAAGTTAGTGGGCTAAGTGTAAGTTAGTAGAGAGTCCACTGATACAATGTAGCCACATTGAATCTTAGTGGGCTAAGTTAGTAAGTTAGTGGGCTAAGTGTAAGTTAGTAGAGAGTCCACTGATACAATATAGCCACATTGAATCTTAGTGGGCTAAGTTAGTAAGTTAGTGGGCTAAGTGTAAGTTAGTAGAGAGTCCACTGATACATTATAGCCACATTGAATCTTAGTGGGCTAAAGGACTGACCTCCTCGGGTGGTGCATCAATGCACCCTGATGCTGTGGGGAAGCAGGAAAACAAGCCCTCTGTTCCTTAAGATCATTGAACCCGGGGCAGATAAGTCATTAGAAACTACATACTCACCATGAAACTTTTTCAGCCTAACTTAACTGTCCTGTTCAGAACCCAGCAGGACAAGCTGAGTTCCTTTTTGGAGTGATCAAACACACGGCCACTTAAAAGACACAAATCATCTTTATTTAGCTCCTAAAGCATCCAAACAATCGTTTACTCACGACCGAAACCAGAGTTCCCTCTAAGCTGAGTTAGTGCGAGCTAGCTCACAGTTTTTTAGCCTCCGACTCACACATTTTCGTCTTAGCTCAGGAAGGATGGCTCCAGAGCAAACTAATTTACGCAGTGGCCAAATTGCTCACTCACAACTTTAATGCCAGTAGCTCACAAAGTAGAATTTTTGCTCACAAGACTCCACAGCTTAGAGGAAGCATTGATCCAAACTGGTGACAGGGTGGGAGCTTACATCTTTAGTGCTAAAAGTCCATTCTATGGCTGGTGGCGAAAGAGAGATGAATCTGCCCGTCTCTTGCCACTAGAGAATTCTAACAAAGGAGAGCGGTTGCTGGTGCAGCAAGAACAGTTGACACAGGGAAGCTCTCCCGTGTGCTGGCTGGTTGATGGGGTTTTTTTAGAGGAGTTCGGGGGCTCCCGAACGCCACTGAGCTCCCCAAAGAGGAGCACAGTGCAGGGGACTTGCTTGGGACTCCCCGCAAGTGGCAGCAAGTGAGTGAGGGTCCTTTGATTGCCCCAAAGCAAGAACCGATTGAGAGCGCCCATGCCAGGCATGGATGTGGAGCCACGACTGCCCGAGCGAGGGGGAGAAGCAGGAAACATCAACTGAACCACTTAAAAACACCATCACCATGAGTAAAAGTACAAGCAACAACATCAGAGACTCCCCACTGATTAAGCCCCCATTAACTCTATTGGAAACACAAAGGATGAGAGGGGTGAAGAATTTCTTCCCTCCCCCCCCTTACTTTCAGCAGCTAAGAAAAGATCTGAAAGCATTCTTTAAAATGGCTTGGGCAAAAGAAGAGAAGGTTGTGATCTGATAACAAAACTGTCAACAAAAATATCTATCTATCAATATTCTGTAGTGGATTACAAAATTTTGGAAATATTCATTTTATTTGGCTTTGACCTCCAGGGAAATAAGAGCTCCTCTGTTTGGAATTACAAATAAAGTAACTACAGACTTTAAGCGATTATTACAGGAAGCAATTATAACAGCAGTAAGAACAGCTCTGGAAAAAAATATGAAAAATGTGCAACCTGCTGTGATCAGAAGGAAGAGCAAACTGACATGACATTTATTATTGTGGAATACATTGATACAGACAATCCAACTGATATGACTTACAAAATGTATTCAAAAACACACAAGCTGATTGAAGAACTGGATATGAGGCTCGATGAAAGAATGACAAGAGATGGCATTATTGAATCAACATCTACTGAAAGAGAGAAAAAATAAAAAATATGGAACCTCAAACTACTTTAAAAATTGATTATAGATGGTTACTACCAGAAGATACTTGCTTCATCTACAAGGGGAAAAGGCACAAAATTAAGACTTTAAGACTTAAGAGGAGAAATCAGAGAATGGAGGATAAAAACTTATGGAAAAGTTCCAAAATGTTATGGATAAGAGAGAATACATAAGCATCATTTTTTATGGATAAGGGAGAAAATACAATCCCTCAAGATTTTATAAAGGTTTGAATGATATAAATATCATACAGCTGTTCAAAACTATATAAATGAGTTGAAACATTAGAAAATATACTAAAAGAGTATAAAATTTTATTTTTGAAATATATGTGAAATATTATTGTAAGAATATAAGGTGAAATTTGAAAAACAAATTTTGAGGTATTTAAATAGGTAATCTGACGAGGTAATGAAATCCCCTATTATTTAGATACCTATGTAAATTATATGGTTTTAGATTTTGAAATGAACTGAAGAATATAATAGATGTATACAGACATATAACCTTTCATAGATTATAAAAACTGATCCTTAAAAGTATGCAAAAGAACTTTCTAAGAACATAAGGTGGGACATGGAAAACAAATATGGTATGAAGTATTCAAGCATGTAAACTGATGATGTAACTGAACCCCCCACATTTATGTATTTGTGTGTTATATATTTGTCTGTTTGGTCATTGTGATGTTTGTCTTTATTAAAAAAATTTTTTTAAAGAGAATTCTAACAAAGCATGGAAAAGGGGTAATAAAATTTTGGCCGGCACTGCTAACTAGAAGAAAAGGAGCCCATGTGTAACCAATAAGAAAGGCTATTTCAGAACATCTGACCTAAGGGGGTAATGAACTACATTTCCCATCATGCATTCTCTTAAAGGACTATCTTGTTCTAAAATACAAACTGCTACCTGCATATCCTGCTGTGGCAGAACATTAATAATCTTTGCTGGATAACCTCTCTCCCTAAACTGTTGAGAAAGTGAATACTATGAGATGGAGTCCTTTAAACTTTCTCAACAGTTTAGGGAAA